TTTTTTTTTTTTTTTTTGATTTTCATTCTTAGTTTTATTTTTATTAGTCTTGTGTTTGTTTTAAGCACTTTGTATTCTGGTTACTCATTTTCATGTTGTAATTTAGATTTGTCATATTTATTTCCCATTGATAATCATGATAGACGCGGGTCCTCTGCAACATGTATTTCAAAACTGTTATCACTCACTTAAAGATCATCTGCTGCAGCACTAGCTAATCAATACCCTCATTGTTATATAATTACGTTTGAAATTTTATGTATCTTTGGTCCGGAAATATGCTAGATTCAAGGCGCCATGTTGTTGTCGTCGCTGTTTCAAGTTGTGCTCGGTTTCACTGGTCTCGTTGGTGTCCTTCTTCGCTTCATTGGACCGCTGGCCATAGCGCCTACAATCACTCTTGTGGGCGTGGCGCTCTTCCGAACAGGAGCGGAAAAGGCGGGTAAGTTGACCGTAGAATATGATAATTGTTGTTCCACTTTAGCCTCATATCTTTCCAATTTATTTTTTCACTCTCTAGGTCTCCACTGGGGAATTTCGATGGTGTGAGTAGCAGCTTGCTCTTCTTTGCTAAAGAGATCGTTTAATTGTAAATTAAAACGTTTTTTCTCTATATGAGGTAAGAAAATCTTTTCCTACTACGAGTAAAGAGGTAGTTAGAGAAAAGTGAGTAGTGAACAATAAATGGACGTGGTAAAACATCGTGATTTGTGCGCTGTTAATATGCTCGCCACTGAAAAATGCTATACAATCATGAACATATTGAGTTGTGGGTCAGGAGAGTCAAAATAACTTTTAAAAATAGGCCAGTGGAGGCGTAAAATAATTAAAGCAAGCTAGATTTTCCGCAACCATTGATCGCACTGGAAGCGCGGAAGGAGTGCTCCTGCCAGTCCTACTCGCATCACACATTGCGCCAAAAGCGGACCGCTCCTTTGAACGCCCGATCTTCTCAAGTTTTTCCACTCTGGTTACATAACCATTAATTTCAGTTGGCTTTTAAAACCAAAGAAGGTCAAATTCGTTCTGTCGAAACGTCTTTCTTACTATAAACGTCGTTTTAACTTTTCAATAGGGTCAGTGTCAAACACGACTTCGAACGTATACTACTTTTGTACACCATTATTACTTTATATTTTACTTGCGTTTCAGGACTATCGTCTTAATATCTTTGTTTTCACAATACCTGACAAAGATAAAGATCCCAGTGCCTCGATATAGCGAAGAGCGAGGACGTGTTTATGTCGGTCGCTTTCCATTGTTCAGGTTATTTCCGGTTAGTACATGCATAGATAGATGTTTCGCAACTTCATTAGTTTGCATTTTGGTTAGTCACTCTTTTTTTAACTTAACACGCGTCACATGATCTGTTACACAGGTGATTCTAGCAATCGTAGTATCATGGATTATTTGTGCCATAATCACTGCAGCGGGAGGTTTTCCTTCAGATCCCAGCATTCCTCAGTATGCGGCGAGAACTGACGCCAGGGCTGCTGTGTTGAAAGAAGCCAAATGGTTCAGACTTCCGTACCCAGGTTAAAAATAGTAAAAGTAATGCATTATAATATTTAGAAAGGAAGCCACACCAGCCTTAGCTGGTTTTCATGCGAGTCCTCTATCCTGGTCGAACTGAAATTTGGAGGTTTTGGGTTTTGTGGAGGGAGGAAAATAGGAGAACTCAGAGAAAAAGCCTAGAAGCAATGCGAGAAATAATAACAAATTCAACCCACATATGGCACCGTAGACTTTCAGGGTAGAATAGCTGAGCGAGCGAAGCGAGCTGCGAGATTTTAAGCCGGGAAGCGTCCAAAGGACTTTTCTGAAAGTCTAATGGCACCCGTGTTACATGTTGCTAACTTTCCAGGTCAGTGGGGAATGCCTACTGTGAGTGTCGCAGCGGTGTTCGGGATGTTAGCTGCAGTGATGGCCTCAATTATTGAGTCCGTGGGAGATTACTATGCCTGCGCGAGGTTATCAGGAGCACTTCCTCCACCAAAGTACGCCATCAACCGTGGAATAGGAATCGAAGGAATTGGATGTCTCTTGGCAGCAGCTTTTGGTTGTGGAATCGGTACAACCTCGTATAGTACAAACATTGCAGTTATTGGCATCACTAAGGTAAACACTTTTCTCACGGTGAGAATTATGTTCGGAATGTTTAGCTTATAATTGCTTTGGTTGGTTTCTTGATTTATGTTTTGAATTATGGAATGCGGCTTCTTCGAATTGTGTTGGGCAAGTGGATTGGAGCCTCGCGGCTGGAAACTCACGAGCAGTTCCGGGACAAGTCAATTTTCTCGCGTTTTCAATAATTTATTCCAATTATTACCAGCGTTAGTGTGCTGTTCAGACAGCGGACATTTTTTCTAGTCTGTTTGGATCACTTTTTGCCATTTTTAAGGTCAACGCCCGCAACTGTAGAAAAAATAAGGGCATCAGGTTTTACCACTGCAATACGTTATCTACCTGTGTAAGAAGGCAATAGACTCTGCACGAACTGTTAAATGGAATTATGCTTCATATAATTCTGAACAAGTACTCCGTGGACTGTTATTGAAAGTCGGAAAACTGTCCTACGTCACATGCTGGCAGCCTGACCTCATTCACAAAATAGAAGCATCCCGCATTTACCATTAGAAACTTGGGCAAATCTAACATTCTCCTTAATTAAATGAAACAAATAAATTTTACATTATTTTGTGGTTATATTACAGATTGATCTCATCTCAGTCGTTGCGACAGAGTTAAAAAATCAAAACGATCTCCTACATCAGAACCAAATCTGAAAACGTTTTATACTTTGTTAGGTTGGTAGCCTTCGTGTTATTCAGTTTGGTGCTCTTATCCTGATGGCTTTTGGACTTCTCGGTAAAATTGGTGCGTTGTTCGTCAGTATTCCAGATCCCATCGTTGGTGGAGTTTTCTTGGTCCTGTTTGGAATGATTTCCGCTGTTGGGATCTCCAACTTACAGTTTGTTGACATGAATTCCTCCAGAAACTTGTTTGTTTTTGGATTCGCCATTGTTTTTGGATTGGCTCTGCCGCATTACATGGCCATGCATCCTGGTGCCGTACAAACAGGTTCGTATCACCAGTGTTTTCATCATGCTGAATTTCAAGGATGTCGGGCTACCTTTTGCAAATACTCCACCGACTTTGCAAGACCCTCGCTCATTACCGAATCCATAACTTAAAATTGATGTTCATGATGCATGTTGTTTAATTTCCTTATAAAATAATAATAATAATAATAA